TTGCTAACTTGACTCATGATAAAAGTAATGTCATGTTAGAAGTTAAGAACATAAAAAATGATACTGCTTCTTTTATAAATGACTATTTATGTTCTACTTCTAATAAAAATACATATGTACCAAATGATGAGTTGAATGTTGTTAAAAATCGCATTTCATCCTTAGACTCAACTCTTAATACATGCATTAATAATCATAAGAAGCTTATGGATATGTGTGCCAAATATAAGCCAATCATCCACTCATTATGCACACATATATAGCAAAGTTTACAAGTGTTCTATTTGCAGTCGTAAATGCCATTTAGCTAAATTTTGCTATGATGCACACAAACATAAAAATATCAATGCTCCTTGTGCATCTTATCAAGTTTCTTCATCACATGTACACACACATGCACCCATTATTCATCATAAGCATGCTCATGTGTATAGATGTGATCATTGTGGTCGTTTTGGTCATTTGGTCAAGTTTTGCTTTGATTTGAAAAGGAACTCAAATTTGCCAAATGCTTCTAGTAGACCACATGTTTTTAAATGTAATGTTTGTGATAGGTTTGGACATCTTGTAAAATTTTGTTATGATATGCAAAAAGCTTCTAAGTTAAAATATGTTCCAAATAGACCATTGTTTAAGAATATTTCTCATTTGTAAAATAATTCTAAAAGATAATCTTTATTTGCAAATGATTCGCGTGCACGAGCTAATGGTCCACAAAACAAATGGATTTCTTTCATTACACATATTGCAATTGGAAGGGTCATTTGAGTGATTATTGCTTTGACCGTGTTAGTGCACTACACGCGCCCAAGAGGGTTCATAACCTTAGGGCTTTGAGCTTTATTGATAGGGGTCATGTCCCTAAATATTTTGGTACCAAGAATACTTGGGTACCAAAACAAATTTGAGTTTAAACCAAGAACTTTAATGTTTTTATTTATTTTATCTTGGTTTTGAAAATTATGCTTTGAAATTTTTGAATATGAAAACAATTTTTTATTGATCAATTCTTTTGTTTTCATAATTATTAGTTTCGATTTTGATGAGAGGTTTGTGTTTATATAATCCCCCGGGTTTATTGGGTGTTTATTCTCAAATCTTATTTACCGGGTGCTAAAATGCTTATATGGGTTGGAACAAGCTTAAGAGCTTGATATATTGTTGCCTCTCTTGCATTTTGTCAAAAATTTTATTTTGATTCGTTGCTTTGAATTCATTATATAGCACAAATAGATGATTCAAATTTCAAATATGCTTTATAATGTATTCTATGAGTGGTTTGATCAAGTTCTTCAAAGAAAATTTTATGTATTCTATGAGTGGTTTGATCAAGTTCTTCAAAGAAAATTTTCTTTATTGATCAAACATTATTTTTTAGCTTAAAATTTGATTTATGATTTTATTTGGTTGATTTGTTTTTATTTGATAACTTTTTGCATGCTTCTCATGCTCCTCTCTCTTTTGATTTCATAAATCTATTTATATTTCTTGTTGTGTTCTGAGACACCCATTTATAATGACATATCATTATGTGTTCTCATTGTATTTTTTATGTGAGTAATATGTAGTATATTTTTTATTTATGCTTGCTCACATGCTTGCCTTAGCATTCATTTCATGTATCCTATGAGGCATTTTGATAGGGAGAGCAATCCCTATATTTGTTTTATACTCACCCATGCTTATTTGTAGGGGGAGCTTTCGTTCTCTTCATTCTTTATATTTTTTTTCATTTTTGATGTTGTCAAAGGGGGAGAAATATTATGAGTATATTATTTCTTGTTTATATGCATGATAATTATAATTTATATATTCATTTCCTTTCATGCATATATCCTTTTTGTAAATTGTTTGTCATCATCAAAAAGGGGAAGATTGTTGACCTTCTTGTTTTGATGATGTTTAACAAACAATTTATCACTAATATTGCTTGTCTAGTATTTGTGTATTTTTATTTATTATAGACAAACAATAAGTTAGAGGATGGATGTAATTGCGCATTCACGATCATATCCAACAGAGGTTGGCGGAATTGTGGAGTGAAGCCTACGCAATTCAAAGTTAAAGATTCAAGTTCAAGCTTCATCCGCAAGTGTACCAAGATAGAACTTCGTTGAAGATCACATGCTTGGGTAAAATTAGTTTAGGAGTTTATATTATGTGTGTTAAATGCTTTAAGCTTAATATCATATACACACACATTTTATTGGTTTCTATGTATATATATATATATAGTTATATATATATATACACAAGTTTTGGTTTGATAGTTTTCAAGTTTTAATATGAAACAATTGAACACAATTGAAAAAGCATATTTTTGTTTCATACTTACATGCATATATATGATTTCATCAATATCAATTTTATTTAGTTCAATGAAATCATATTTACTTTTGAAATGTTTGCAAAATATGCAACTTTATGAAAATATTGTATTCTCAGTTTTTGGACTTAACAATAATCATATACATCTTTTATTAAGTCTACAAAATCACTTTGTAATGTTTCAAAACATGGTAAAATGTTAAAACTCATGTGTTTATATTTTCATGTTTTGGACTATTTTGTAAAATGATGATATTTCTCATTTGGGAGGTCCTTTTTATAGTATGTGTATTATCATGTTTACAATCATTTCCCAAAGTTTCATAATTTTTAGAATTTGTTTGATATTTTTAAAAAAGGTTTTAAAGTCAGAAAAACTGTTAAAACGATTTTTATCATATATCAGTTTGTGGTCGACCGCCACGGTCGACCGCCTTGAGTCCAGAGACTCAGGATAGTTTTCAGAGGCTCCCCCCCCCCCCCCGCGCCCCCC